TCATTCATTAAGAACTGCTATGGCTCAAATTGCTCATCAATTTCTTAATGAGGAAAATACTTAGAGAAATGTCAGATGGGCTGGCTGGAAGATGATTTGGAATCTAAATGATGTTCCACAAGTGAGATTTTTCTCTTTGAAAATTAATTTGGAGTAGGTTGCCTACTGCAGATTGATTCTCTATATTCAGTAGTACTCAATCTATCCCTTCTACATTTGCAAGATGTTTTGTGACTTGTTATCTCACATCTTTGTTTTCTTTTAATGTTTTACCATTGTTAATATCAATCATGTTTTCAAACACCATTCCAACTAGTAAAGTGGTGAGTGGATTAATGGATGAATTTGGCAAGGATTTCAACTTATTGCTATTGTTACATTAAAATGACCATTATATTTACATCATAGATAAAGAGAAGATGAAATGCATCACTTCATGTATTTTCTGTATCCTTCATGAAGTGTACAATTTAGGAAGATGTTCTGTTTTCTAAATTATGGTTCAACGAATCATATCTCATAATACTTGATGTTTTTCCATCACATAATACTAAATCCAAAACTAGTGTTGAGCAAATCTCATGAGATCAAAAAGGTTCAATTTAATGACTTCTCTTTGATGTCATCACTCACAAATGAGGGCTGAGAATTCCTAAGCAAAGTGCTACTTCCAAATGTCCACAATGACAATGTAGCATAGTTGTCGAGCTTCTAATCTCAACTCTTTTTTCATCAGATTATTAATGGTTTCCAAGCTATCTGTCTTCATATGTTTTGTGTCACCTCATCCTTTGAACTGGGTCTAAACATTGATGATAATTAGGTAACTTCTTTGGTTGCTCGAATGCAGTGTTTGCTTGCAGAGAATTCACTTAGCAACGACTTAATGATTGAGGTTTGTATAATCATTAAAAATATTTAAGGTTGGATCTCGGTACAATGATAAGATTATTCTTTTACGATAGAAAATATCAAAGTCTAAGTCAAAAAATTATCTTTTTGAATATTTAAAGATAAGACGATGTGCATTGATCCTTCTCAGATTTTACATTAACAGGAGCCTCATATATTGGATATGTATTTTTTTATAATTATAAAAAATAATTTTCACTAATAATGATTCAATTAAAAAAGGTCTCACCAATAATCTTGTAAAATATATTTAAAATAGTCCAATTTGCCTCTCAAGCAAATTGTTTATTAACAAATTTCAATAGATGTGCATTGGCTTATAAATGACATTTTGAGAGACTGTCCCTGACAAGATTCGTTAGAACCCAACATGCTAAATGCCAATGATATGGTAACGAATTGAGGGGTTCTCTTTTTCTATTTTGTGCCTTAATATCATTCTGCCTTGAATGGAATGTTATTGCTGTTTCAGAAAAACACAGATGCAATTAGCATTAGATGTTTTGATTGAGAATTGTGAAGGCAATCAATCAAGTTATCAATTGGGTAGCAAATGATGTAAGCATGTATTGCACCTTTGTCTTTTGGAGAGAAGAGTGATCCTCTTTTTATCTTTGATATGAGGGGTGACTTTTGTATCCATGCATCTGTTCAATAAATAAATTTACTAAGTTAGCTACTGATAGTTTTAGGTATGTATTGAACTTGAAATTGGGAAGCATATGATTCTTTTAGATTGTCTTTTTATGGAGGATGAAGTTGAATCAAAGTAGCATCATACTGTAAAAAACGTAAAAGATTTAAGTCCCCATCTAATTCTCTCTCCTGTTTATGACGGATGATCCTTCTTATTATGGACTGGAATAAAAGGAGGATCAATCATATGTTAAACATTTAAAAAGATTACTTCTTCTTGATTGATATCTATCTAAAGCAAAGAAATGGCAGTGGAGGAAGGAAGAGTAGTTGAGTGGTTCGGGTATCGGATCATGTCTTTATAAAAAGGTTATATGGTTTGAGAATGAAACAAGTACTAATTCTTATTTTGGATGGATATGTGTCGATAGTGGAAGAAAAGGAAGAAAAGAAGATGATAGTGGAAGAGAAGAAAGCATAACGAAAGAAATGAGGAGAAGAAAGAAAACGAAGACATTAGAGACGAGGAAGAAGAACAATTAGTAGTGCATCATGAGCAGCATATGATAGGCAATAATAGGCTATAACTAGAGGTATAACATGCGAGGAAAGCTTATCAATGCAAGCCATGTTCGAAAGTAGCATGTGCATCGATTTATGTCTAAATTGATAATATCATTTATTTTTTTATTAAAATAGTGATACATGATCATAAGTATGAGTTATATATATATATATATATATATATATATATAATATTAAATCAGTAATAATAATAATAATAGATCTAAATTAGACCTTTAGATGGTCATCAGCTTCCCCTTCTTTCTCTCCCAGCAGTTTGCCCGCTGATCTGTGTGTTCTATGGTGGCGCAAATCATCTGGAGAATTCGTATACGATGCAATAAGTAGTTATTATCTGCTCTCTCCGTCTCTCTCTATATATAATAATAACTCTTTATATTCACTCTCGAATAATATTTTTAGAAAATTTCAAAAACATCAAACAATAGCAACAGTAATGTAATAGATCAAAACTAGACTTTTGGATGGATGTCAGCTTCTCTCCCAGCAGTCTCCGTCGCCAGGGTTGGATATCCCACCGAACCTTCATGGTTGCTGCAGCCACTTCTTGGGAAGACTTCTTTTCGCCGCCGCCTGCAGTTGTGTCGTGTCGACTGCTGCATAATCTCCCCCACGTTTTCGGGTGGATTCGATGAAAAGTCAACCAAGTTTTCAGGAACCCCCTCCCCCTCCGCGTCGGCTGGAATCGTACGGGTCAGCGATGCACAGTGAGAGACCAAACGAGCCGACTTACACTATCGGGAGCCTACGGATCGATCGCTCGCATGACAACGTAAAAGGAAACATCAATGGTCATTAACGATCCACGTACGATCGAATTATCACCACATGTATGAATACTGATCTCTTGACTTGAGAAAGGAGCCGAACTCTTTACATCATAAAATTTACTCGTTAACTTAAGCATTAGAGGGGTGGAGTTGAAAATCCCTTCCTGACATCAATATGTTATACAAGATCGTAGCGGGGACGAAACCGATCAAACTCCACCTCGGGTCAACTGTGAGGGTACAACGAAATCCCGAGAACCGACCTCCTAATCTAATCTCATTCTTGCACCCTTCTCGTACTAAAAATCCAATAGTGGCTTTTGGATCGTCAGTTCAGTGAGGCCTTTTTGATCGATCCAAGTTGAAATGGTTCACTGTTGATTTTGTTTGTTCAAGGAACATGCAAATTGACTGCTACATTATTCGATAAGTTATTGTCATAGTAGTGATGGTGATCTCGACGAAGACCTTATCTTTTGCTTCTCCTTTGTCACTTTTCCTTTATTCATCACTTTTTTTCTTTTTCTTTTTCTTTCTCTTCTCCTTTCTTTTTTCTTGAATCAAGAAGATAGCAAAACATAATTGAAGTATATTGCTGTCTTTGTTGCCGTTCGATCATTTAATACTTATTTTGATAGGATAAAATAAATATAGGATCTTCAAGAAGTTTATTTGTAAATCTAAGAGCTTATCAAAGAATATTGCATGTGTAAGGGCTTTCATGTTGCAAACTGATAGAAACCAATGTTCTTATAACCCATTTTACTGTAATAATGATTCATGGATTGTTGGTTTCTTATAAACCATCTGGTTGTGCAGTTTTAATCAAATCTTCTTCTCTTGTTTGATGTTTATTGGTAAATGTGGGAGCTTATCAAAGAACATTACATGTATCAAGGGTTTTCTCATGCTGTACTTTCATGGAAATCAACGTGTTATAACTCATTCTACTGCTATTTCACAAAGAAGATCCTATTCCTAATGAAGCATTTTCAATTCTTGATTATATTGATAAATATATAGATATTAGGTGAAATATCAAGTCTAGGTGAGAGTCAATTGTCAAATAGTTTAAGTTTTGAAATTCTTCTAATGGACTTGAATGATCTATTATTTTATTATGTATTTTGACATTTAAGCTTTCAAATTGGTCTGTATCATATATTTAAGTTTAAAAAATTAAATTTTTCTTGAAAGATGTTTTTATTTTTATTTTTCCTCTCGTATCTCCTGTAATATTGTAAATGTCCATTATCGTCATCTGTTGCATGTCACCTCTATGACACTTTTACTATATCATGAGGCTTCTGCTTCCTCCGTGCATCTTCTCCCTCTATCTCCTCAAGATTCAACCTATCTATTAGCTCCTCATCAAGCTAGTAGTCATACCTTTACTATTACTATTGAAGCATCCTCTCTTTGATGGAAGAGAAAGATACGGAAAAAGAGTAAAAACATGAAGGACGATGACAAAAGCCTTGTAATCACGATAGCACAAAGGTAATAGATAGTCAACGATGATGAAAACATTTACGTTATTATAAAAATAGAAACACCATCTTAAAATAAAATAAAAATATGACACCTTTCGAAAAAACTTAAAAATTATTTTTTCTTTCGTAAAATCATCGAATAAAAAAATAAATAATCATAATTAATCGTGTCGTATTTGAGACTCAATCAAGAGAGTCGGAGTAGAATTCGCACATGTAAAATAGACAATGAACGAGGCACTCGTCAATTCTACATTTGATAGGATTATATTTTTCAATACACAGATACATTTTTTTCATGACTGATTATTCTTATCATCACATCACAAATTGTTGAGTACGTAAGATTTGTTAGAAGATCCAAAACTTTGGACCACTCAACCACACATGCAATTGCTGAGCTGTTTAAGATTTGTTTAGAGATACAGAACTTTGGACCAATCAACTACACATTACAAATGCTGAGATGTTTATACGTGTAGAACAATGTATTGTGTTGACTACAAACTTGGAATCTTCATGAGGAAGTCGTCGGTGTCAGTGACTTATTAATGAGATGGCGATCCAAATCTGCCACTGCCAAAGAGTCCTCCTTGCATCCCTCTCTCTCTCTCTCTCATCTCTTCGCATCTCTTCGCTGTCCTCTTATATGTTGATGGGTGGTGGTGGGTGGGCAGTCTGGGAAGCGTGCCCAGCCACACAGGTTCCACCATCACTGTAGATAGAGTTTCGGAGGCAGCAATGGAGCTCGAAGGCAACCAGCAGCTGCCGGGCAGTGATGATGTGGAGAAGAAGAAGGTTGCCTCGCTGAGGGCCTTGGTGGAGGGCCAAGTTCCAGCTGCCAAGGTGCCGCCCCCCACCCCCAATCTTTCTCCATCCCAATCTCAGCTTTTGCTTTGTGGTATTTTGAATCCACTCGATTGTCTTAGCTATATAAATCCGTTCATCTTTATCAGATTCTCCCCTGTGGAACATCTCATCTTGTTGATCTTCTTGGAGATTGCCAAGCTTAGGTTCTTGCTTGTTGTGTGCTCACTGGCTTTGTTGTTTCTTGGGATATTAGTTTTCTCATCTTGGAATTCTTCACATCTTTTAGTCCTATCAGTCTTCAGCTCCAGTTGGGTGTTTGATTTGATCATATTTATCCTTCTTTTTTGCTGTATAAAATCCACTGGTTTATGTTATTATGGATGGTGATACATAAAGCTATGCCTATAGGATGAATATCATGATCAGCTAAATGCATATTTTTTTGTATTTGGATCCTTTCTTCCCCAGTAATTTCTTCCCTATATGCAGGTTTTTGCCTCACTATAAGCTTTTGAAGTCCTTTTCCTGCATGTTCTTCTATGGTGCCATTACCTTTGCCCCTTGTTTCCATAGGTCACTTAATATGAATCCTAGTTATGCTATCTCAATAATTTAGCCTTTTCAATTATGAAACTTCTTTTCCAAACTTTTATTTTTATTTTTTTACTTTTATAACATACAGAATTTTGGGTTCCTGCCCATATGCCTCCATAATTTTCAATATAGCATGTAAACCCTTTTAATTTTTTTTTTTACTTTCACCTTCAGGAGTCTAGATTTTTGTACCCATACCTATGAATCTACTCCATTGCAATTAAATGTAATTTTGACCATATTTATTAGAAGACTCTGTCAGGGGTGCTTATGATTATGTTCAAATGCTCAAATTTTAACTGATGGTATACCGATCCTCTTGCACAAGTGACTCCTTTATTTTTCACTTGGAGGTACTTTAGAAATTTGGTCATATAAATTTACTACTGATCGTGATTTGATTTTTATATCTGGTATGGGTAAAAATTCTGAAGTTGATACTTCATTATGTTGACACAACCACATGGTTCATCCTTCTGAATTATGGTACTTCACATGTCTTAAGTCTGTTCTAAACTGTAGAAACATAGTGAACATACAAGTTTTAAAGCTAATAATTGCTTGTATTTTCTGTTAGCATATGGTTTTGTTCTTGTGGAAATCAGATTTTCTTTTCTGAAGAGAGCGTGTATCTCTACAATCAATTTTCTCATAATTCCCGAAAATTTCTTTCCAAAAACCAGTCTACATCCTTGTGCTGTTTCTGATAAGAAGATTATTACTTTGTCATGCCAAATGCAGGAAGTAGATGATCTAATGCTAAGAAGGTTTCTGCGTGCACGTAATCTGGATGTCGAGAAAGCCTCGGCCCTATTCCTAAAATACCTCGAATGGAGATGTACAGCAGTACCAAATGGTTTCATCTCTGAGACTGAAATCAAGAATGAGCTTTCTCACAAGGAAGTATTCACACAGGGATTCGATAAGTTGGGGCGCCCCATAGTTGTTTATCATCCCGCTAAACATTTCTGCTCCAACCGAGAGATGGATGAGTTGAAGCGTAAGTTGTCAGTATACAACAAATAAAGTGCTAAAGAATGAAAGTGTATCTCCTTGAATTAGATTTTACTGCTTTATATAACAATACTCTCACTTACATCGTGTTTTTCCTTGGAATTTCAGGTTTTGTTGTGTATATTCTCGATAAACTATGTGCCAGGTGATTCATCTATTGTTTTCTGATGTAGACGTAAAACCCCAAAGACTGTGTGTATATCTAGTTAATTAATGAATTGACTGGAATAATTTGTACTGATATCAGACGGATATGATGTTTTATTTCAAATGCATTGTCAGAATTTTTTGTAGAATCATATTCGGGAAAAAAGAAAAAGAAGTTTGTGTAGTAGGAACAAGCAAAGCATATATATGAACATAATCTCTTGATCTCCATACCTTATTTCCATCTGACCCTTATCATACTTGCAGAATGCCTACAGATCAGGAGAAGTTCACATGTATTGCAGATCTTAATGGTTGGGGCTACTCAAACTGCGATATCCGGGGTTACCTTGCATCTCTAGACATCTTACAGGTTTATTTCACGAAGTCTTGCTTTATATGATTGCTAAGAATGAGTAGATTTTCCTGAAAACAGTACTCCTTATTTAGCAGTTTTGTTAAATCCAGGTGCATTTATAAGACTCTTTTAAACAGTCTAAAAATAATTTTCCTCGTCACACGCACATCGTTTCAGCCTATGGCCAAGGAAATTACACTGTGATGTTATATTTGTGTTTGAACCGAAAAACACTATAAGCAACTGCCAAAATTTCTCAACTGAATGGGAAGAGAGAAATCATTTTTATGTTGATGAGACAAACAGTAAATATAACCAGCTTAAAGCAAATAAATATTTAAAACACAGGAAATATATTTAGAATAATATCATACAAGGGTTGTTATTTAACTGATCAAGGTTGCTATTATTTGGTGAAATAGATATTGAATTCCTCTAAAAACAATATTCATGTCAACGGCAATGCAACTTTTTGACAGCCCATTATGTAGAGTGATAGCAGAAGTGATTCACTAAAATGCCTATAGATTCCAGTTCTGTGGCTGTTGTACTCTATTGTTCTTTAGAGAAGACTTCTTCATGATAATGTGCATTGTGATCTTCCTAGAAAGGTGTCCTTGTTTCGATTTTGATGCACAAGTTTGCAATTATATGTTACTGATTTCATCATTGCATAAGTGCAGAATCGCTACCCGGAAAGGCTAGGCAAAGCATATCTAATCCATGTACCGTATATTTTCATGAAGGTTTGGAAGATCTTATATCAATTTCTCGATAAGAATACCAAGGAAAAGGTAATTGCTCTCACCTTCTTACTCAAATTTTACTGTAACTCTTTGTTATGTCCCAAAGATTGCTCTTTTTGTGATCATTTATGTCATCGCTTAGGAAAACAATGTGTTCAGCCACAAACACAATACTGACAATTTAAGCAGCACATGCATATTTATTCTCATCTCTCATAACTGATCTATAGTTCTTGCCATGCCCTTGTATAGTTTATCTTCATCGAGAATAAGGATCTGAAAGCTACACTACTAGAAGAAATTGATGAGAGTCAACTCCCCGAGATATATGGAGGAAAGTTGCCATTGGTTCCAGTTGAAGAATCCACAATCTAATCCATTGTTTCCAGCATTGGAGATACCAAAGCTGTTGATAGAAATATATACGAGTGCAAACATAAGCTCTTATGCTTTCATAGCTTATCGTCAACGTAGAAAGCATTGCTGCTGCCTGACTTACCAAGCTGAGGATATCTTTGGCAATTTAAAGGACAACTGAGAACTGCTGATCACAAAGCTGTGTTGTTTGCTTCTGTTGACACAAATTTGCTTCTGAGCACAAAGCTTTGCGTTGTTTTCATTTTTCATGTGTTACTTGGCAAAATCAAATGCTTGAATGAAAACAAACAATCAGTATATTGGAATATTCACCAATTATTCATGGCAATACAATCAACCACACATCACAATTCATTAATCTTCCTTGCCTTTGCTTTTTGAGAATAAGCCTTGTACAATGATAAGGTTCCTACTTTACAACCTTAGAGAGCATAATCCAAACATAGCGACGTTTGTACTATGTACGAGGAAGAAAAATCGAAGGACCATTCATAAAGTAAATTCACAGAAACAATCAGGCAAAGCAGTGCCTCTTCCCATCACAAAATCTTCTCTATGAGACTTCCATAAAGCATCAGCCAACTCCACCCCTTTCAGCCCAATTGCAGTAAAATTTGCAAAAGCCCTCCTGCTCAAAGCCAATGTTTTGTAATGCCGGTTCACTGCTCTCATTGCTGACACCATCTTGTCCATATTTCCAAAGTAAGTTGCAATATATGCATCACTGTTGATCGAAACAAAATAATCCAGAGCCGCTTTTGTGTTGCCGTGCATACGAAAAATATCTTCACTATTTAGTAGAGAAGATTTAGTATAGACATTAGTGTAAACAGCTGTGAAATCTTCCATCTCCATGAGACCATCACCGGCTGCCAAATAGATTGTTGTATCAGTGGGGATTTTAAGAGATTGGAGGACAAATGCTGTTTCCTTTGGTGTGAGTGGGCATTTCCCACGGTTCCTCCAAATGAGAGCAGCATCACCAGTCCATGGTTTTCTATCCCCACGTGAAGCTTCAATAGCATTTAAGGATGTCGAAGAGAGTCCTTGGTATTCACATTGACTATAGGCCACCATGTCAGGTTCGAATCTTAGGTGTAGTGAGAGGAAGGGTTTTGGTATCAATTTGAACAGCTCAGAGCCTTTAGCCTCCAAGGCCTTGTTAAGGCGCAGTGCATTGTAACACCCTTGACAAAGCGCAGCCTTAGCATATAGTGGATACCTGAAGCAAAAACAATATAAGTGAGAGAAACATATTGTTACTGAGTGCATAACTTCCTTTTCAACGGGAATTATAATGAAAAAAGAGCAATTTCAATTTTCAAGCAGGACATCTTTCGGCTCAACAGGAAATTAATAGAAAAAATTGTTGTACATCTGTAGTGTCTCAAGGATTACTATGCTATCCAATTTTTAAGTGTTTGGCTGCTTCTAACAGACACCTCATGTCAGATATGGGCAAAGACCAATTAAAAACATATTCCAAAAACAAAAGTTCCACTGCAAGTCACAGAATACTTTTTAAAACACATTAAATATTTGTTTACTACAGTGGATTCTATTATCTATAGGAGTAATGTCAGTTGTAAAATAGGATCATATCTGCAATCAAATTAAGCAGGAAGCTACCATTGTTGCCAATTCAGATTCAAAACAACTTTAGTTTTTCATGAAAATACCTACAACTTCTACTGTCATAGAGTTAAAAGAGTTATTACTGCATATATACATACCAGCGAATTTCACATGTAAAAATACAACCATTAATGTTCATATTTCCAAAATAAAAAGAAGCATTTAGATGGTAAGACATTTGCACGCGCGCGCGCACACACACACACACACACACACACACATATATATATATATACATATATATACACAAATATATATTCAGTAACCTTGATCTGTGAGGGTGTATTAGTTTGAAACATATAAAGTGTTGTCTAGAATAAAACTGATAATTTGGAGGGTGGATCTGATCACTCAAGTCACCTACAAGGGGTCCTTAAGCAGTAACTCAAACATTCCAGACTGCCCATGTAAATCATGAATAGACAATAACCCTTCCAATGAGATCATGAAAGATCAACTATATAGCTTCACCAAATGCTAACCTTAGAATTTTGTAATTCATGACCAAGCATAATATCATAATATTACACTTTACATTACGGGAAGGATATTAGTTGGCGTTTACCAATAAAATGTTTGTTCTGTCTTCAACAAGAAATTTCAAAGCAATCAGAGATCATCAGGTGGAGAAGGGTTATTTTTGTATGGCACCCTTTGTAGGCACTAAGTGTTGACAGGTCCTTTGGCCCATTAGGCACACTAGGCATTGCTATTATTTTGGACACATAAGTGGTAACAAGGTCATGGGGATTGGACTTAGTAGATTCTGATAAAAAAAGGTGTTAACAAAAGTTGTATTAAGGATAATTCTATTTAAATGTAATTATCAACAGCTTTTGTGTAAACCACTTTATTGTATTGAATCATCACTACGTAACCAATTTCATAATTTTATTATGAATTTGAGCTCTATATACTTCTTTAAAGGCCCAAAAACCACCCAAAGGCATCCATGGAAAGTATATGGGCCACCGAATCCCAACCCTGACTTGTATCATGTTATTGCTTGGTATAGGGATGTTGACCATGTGAGAGACCATGGAATCAGCATCCTGGTCTACAATCCTTGGTCAAATGTTAAGATGATGATACTGGAAGTGATACTCTTATCTTAAGCATGTTGCATGAAAAGCTTCCTACAGTGATTATTTTCCTTTCCAACCTAAGTTCAGTTTTGTTCTTTTTACCTTGACATTATGCTTGTTCGTCACAAGCAATCTATAATGACTACATCTTACTTTCCAAAACAAAGGTCAAAATATGCTTCTTGATTCTCCATTTATATTTCTCTTTTAAACTATGACATGGTTCTACTTTCATGTAATTATTACAATCTCTTTTGTATGAATCAAGAAAGTCCTTTCAAACCACAAACTGAATCTGTGGTCCAATCCAACATGAATGCTTAACACCAACAATATCTAGAACAGATAGTACCAACTTTATTTTTGTTGAATTCTCTTCTAGCAAGTCTTTACTTCTCATCCCTTTCATATGCTGTCATAGATACAATTGTTTACATCAAATAATAAGAATAGCAATCAGATGAGTGCCCAGATCTGATCTCATTCTGCCTCTAAAAACTTAAGCATCCTAAGGTTACAAACACCCATGGTTTCAAATACCTATACGACACCATATTATGAGGGCTTGTATGCAAGAAAAGATATGGTGGGAAAAATTAATCAATTATCCGAATTACGAAGTTTTCTCACAATTCCTGGAGTCACCATAGTTATTTTGACACTTAAGATATTAGTTTCTCAACTTAGTTAGAGTTCACTATGCGGGAGTTATATAGAGATGAGTGGAGTCTCTAAATTCCTTTGTAATGTTTAACGTGTTTGTCTGACATTAATTCCAAAGCTGGAACAAGAGGCAAGACTCTATACATGGAAAAGGCTACAATTAGTATTGGCATGCTATGCAAAAGGCCTATATCTATTACTAAGCCAAAGGGTGTCATGTCTATGTACAAATCCCTTATAAAAAAGGGCAAAATCTGACACAGTTTTACATCTGAAATTTTGTTAATGATGGACTTTGGCAAAGGAACAACAGATCAACTTAACTATTTAGATGCTAGAATCAATCTATTCTCCAAATATTGTTGAACAGATGGGAGGCAACAATTTTGATAGAAATGAATGCAAAGGGGTACCTGAAAAATTTTTGTATATGCTCATACCCAAGTTGATTAAAAGAAAAAGAACACATTTTTTTCCCTAACTTCACAAGAAACCTATAATCTTTCCAAAAAAAGAAAAAAAAGATTAGCCAGACCGACATACCTGCTGTCATGAACCTCAATAAGAATCAATTTACATAAATAAAGCACCATAACAAAAAGAAGCTTTTAAATATTGAATACATGCTACCAAAACAACCTTTTGCCTTCAACGACTGCAGAAGCAGATATTCAAAGAATCTTAAGAGATCATGGTAGAACGTACCTATCTCTCCTTTGGCTAATAGCTGGTGTCAATGATATATAGCGATGTTCTAGTAGAGCAGGAAGCACTGCTTCAACATAATCAAATTGACCTTTGCGTTTGCTGCAGTCCACCCTATAAGGCTCTCTTGAAACAATTTCCTCTGGCAACTCTTTCACAAGTTCCACGAAACCTTTTGTTTGCTGAATAAAGTAGTCTACATCAAACACATCTGCGAAGCCACTGATCAAAATCAAAACCTCCCGTCAGTATTAATTCACCGAGCATCGTTTTCTCTTTCAGCACTCAGCCATACCTCGATTCATTCCAGTAAGCAGCCACCTCAAATTTGGGCAAGACCAGAGTCGCATTTAGGATCCGAGCTATCCCGATGCCATCACAGAACTACAGTTGGCCAAAAAAGGAACGACTTTTCACTCACAAAGAATGCACGATTCATGCCTCGTATCATTAAAGACGAGCAAAGAAAATAAAGTAAAGCAGAATCGGATCAACCCACATCTCGTCGCATTTGGTTAAGGCCACCATAGCAATCCACCCGGATGTAGCCGTTGGTCTTCGCGGGCAGAGCTGCAGCATTTCAACAAAAAACCAAATGGGAACCAGCTGCAATAAAAATCCAGTTCAAGGTGGATTCAGGCGAAAATACAACAGACCGCAGATCCCATCAACATCAATTCTAACCCTAACCCCAACCTAATGATGGATCAAGATCGGGAAGTGAGCCAGACCAGGTAAAGAAGAATTCTTCCACCAATTGCACGCCTTCCACTCCACGACCCGTCGCGCGCTCCAGATGTCGGGTTCCTCCAGCGAGAAAGACCTGTTAGGAAGCGAGATAAGAGATGACGGAACACGAAATACATACATATAGAGAGAGAGAAATGTGATCCGCACCCGAAGAAAGAGATGAAAGGATTAGGGGTGGAGGGAGAGAAGAGAACGGCGGCGAAGAGTAGGAGTGGGACGAGGAGGAAGGTGGGGAGGAGGCGGCGGAGCAGGGGACGCAGTCGGTGGTGCCACGAGCCCAACGACATGGAGGCGGCCACACCCGCAGACTGGAACTCGAGATCTGCTGCCCTCTCTCAAATCCTCTATTCTCCTTCGCCTTCTCTCCATCAATCCTACTCGGTAGTAAAAAATAAGAACGCCAGTTTCTTATTTGCTAAAGAGTGGGATCATCATATTATATTAAAAATTAACATATGATATAGAATTTTTCTTTTTTTTTACTAATAACTAAAAATTATATGCACTTCGATCAAAATTGAAATGATCTAATTAGTTAATTAAATGTACCGCAAGACTCCATTTTTCATTTTTTTCCAACTCATACAATAATTTCTCTTATTAACTTTGTTAAGTCAAAATTTAATCTTTTTTGACTATTTGATGTCTCATTTTGCTTCTGTCTTAGTTCAATCTTTATCGAAAACATGTTCATTCAATTTCAAGATTATGTAGAAAGCATTCTTAGTAAATATCAATCAAATCTTTATAAGAATACTTAAGTGAATCAGAGGTAATTGATAGTGCCTATTTAGGGAGTCCTTTTATAAATGGATTCTCTATATTATTATTTTTGAAATGATGATTACACATGTATCCCAGACTCAATTACGTCATGTTGTGTTGAATCTAAGATACGATAACATCCAACCAATTCGACCTCACGTCAAGATATCGACCACGTACCATACACACGACATGTCAATCATATGACATTAAGGTATTGATCACGTTTTTATATCTATATCAATTTTCGATCATAATTGAATATACCCACAACTTATTCACATATGTCGGTGCTGAATTTTGATGAGACTGAGAATATATATATATATATATATATTCAGAGTATGAATGTAACATCTCATTAGTCCCACATCGGAAGTGGACAATGTGTATGATTAACTTATAAGGGCCTGATGAGTGTATTATGTTAACTCCCACTTAAGCATTTTGGTCCGTGGTACACTATTAATTGAGTTGGGGATATTGTAACATTCCATTAGTCCCACATCGGAATCGAAAGTGGGCAATGTATATGATTAGCTTATAAGGGCCAGTGTATTATGTTAACTCCCACTTAAATATTTTGATCCGTGGTTGAAGAACAAAAAATTGATCAATTGGCTCATCAGACTCGGGTCGTGACAATGAATCTGTAAATCTATAAACCAAATGGATCGTTTAAAATGGATTTCAAGTTTGATTCCCAATTTTTTGTCAATGAACACACGCAATCTCCAAAGTAAATGACAAGTATATGGTCTCTACAAATCTGAAACCATCAACCACAGCTGAAACAATTCATCCTAAGGAATCCCAACGATCTCGGTGATTTCTTCTTGTAACTTCTTCGTTCTTCGTCTACTTTTCTCTTCTTGCTTTCCACAACCCCTCTCATTGTGATCTCCTTCTTCCGCAAGTCCACCATGTAATCCAGCAAGCCTGCTAATATAAACCAGTGATAATAATTGTCAATTTCATTTAGAAAACCTTCCTAAATTTATAATTAATTCTCTATCTAATTTGTTCAAATATTTTTAATATATCAATACAAAATCGAATGCATATATATATATAATTTAGTTAAACTCTCTCAGCTGCATAATATTTGATTACTAATTGAAACTTCAGTTGAAATTAATATCCTTTACAGTCCTTTCACATGTTATATTGATTAGGCAAAGACTAATCACAGATAAAAGTAGTTAACCTGAGTCTTCCATATGGATATTAAGGAGATGAGTATACACAAAGGAGCTTAATAAAACACACACACACACACATCAAGTTATGGTTAAATTAATATTAAGAAAAATAAGCCATTTTGCATTGTTTTAAGTTCATTTTAGTGGATACTGCAATGCCAATGAAACCTTCATTTTATTTTTTATTGAAATCAAATTAAGAAATAGGGTTGCAATTACCAGTATGATCAAGCAACTAACACAAGAATGCCTATTTATACAGGTAGTGTTGGTTCACTGAATTCACAGGTTAATTCTTACTGTTCATTTTGGAGACCACCTTTGAGACCCTTTGCCTGCAGTGGCTGCAACCCATACTGGCACTCATCACAATCACCTGCACCTAACAAATGACAATATTTGCAGCAAAATCACATAATTAGCTTAATTGCACTGCACATTGGGCAGTTGGATATCAAAGTATAAAGCAATTGTAATTGTCACACTCAAAATGAAACACAAAAGAACAATCACATAGGAATATTTTCTTTGCCTGTAGTCCATTAGGTGTGTTTAATTAAAGGTAAAAACAAGCAAATTAAATTCTTTTAATTTGGCTAGACAAACAATTAATTATCTTTATCAATAAAGAAAACTTATTTTAACCCACCATTTAGGTGGATCATTTTATCATGTGCAAATTTGTAGGATCATACCTCTTGACTTGAACCAAATACATGTGAATCTCTTTCATTAAGATTTCTTTTTCTCTATTATTGTAAGATATTTATGACATTTGGATGAATCTGGTATTATGGTCCCATAGTATCTGATTCAGATCAGTGTTGTAAAAGCTTGTCACATCTGAAATGGCCTCCAAACAGCCGTAGTGATCCAAAATGTTGGCAAATTTGCTAATAAAGTTAAGCCACCAATAATGAGTGCAAAAAGCAATCTTAAACACTACCAATCTCAATCTTGCAGCACAAAGCATGAGGTGCAATAATGCAAACTATATTTTCTTACTCCATTGCTGCTTGTGTGATGCATGCATTATCTTCTCTTTTGATATATATATATTTTTCGGAGCATCTCTGCAAAGATACTATAAAAAGTTGGTTGGATTTTGGCAATCAATCCCCCTTTAATCTCAATCACTCACCTGCCCTGTGCTAATGATGGAAGTTAAACTCAGTTCCTCATATGAATCTTTGAAAGGTTAATTATATCATTTGACTGATGCAAGTTGCAGATCTTTCTTACAGAATTTTCAATACCATGCAAAAAGTACAATCTCCATAGACATAATAATCCAATGCTCCAAGAAATATATGAGTTAACATGAAATAAAAAATCAAGTAACCTGTGCAGTTGGTCTTATTAATATATGCCAAATCTAAACACCAAGAAACCAAAGTTCAAAAGTGGTGGAAAGCTTTTAATCATCAAAGCCCCGTCAGAGATTCACCACTAGTTGCAAAATATCTCCAAATTGAGCACTACATCTTTCTTACACTCTTTTTCAGAAAAAGCAGAATCATGAAGAAAGCCATTTGGCCCAAAATCTTCACAGCAGACAAAAGAGATGACAATTTGACACCACTGCATGTCTAAAAACCAAAGAAATCAATCTCTAAATTTGTAACACATAAACTCAGGTTCAAACATCAGAAACTGATACAATCCACAAACCTTGAGTAGCTTCTTATCATTCAGAAAAGGCTAAAATGATATGGAACAGAAGGAAAACAAGGAGTCGAGGAGGTCTCAACTAGAAAAGAAGCATGTGAGTGTGATTGAGGAGGCTAGCTGATGTACCTGGGGAAGACTTAGATTTTCTGCAGACATCAAGGAGCGTGTGGTTGCTGCTTCCATAGACTTCCTCCTGTTGCTCTCATCTCCACAGCTTCTGCAGCTTGCCTCATCTGGTGCTCCTCTTCATTGGACTTCTTCTTGCTTCTTGCCTGCAGCCAGATCTTAGTTGCAGAAACTTGAAACAAGCAGTCCAGGTTGGATGCTTTTATATATAAGCGGTGCAGAAACGGGCAAAGCTGCCTTGGAGTTTTCCTTGCCTCACACAGAATAAGACTTTGGGAAGTCTTACAAGGCTCCTGAGCTGCATCAGTTGACCCTGCATTGTTTGCTTGCTTGTGCACTCAGCTCTGTTATAGCATGTTTGACCCAATCTTGCGGTAAATGTTATCCCACTTACAGTTGGATTCCACTCATTTTTGGCATATGAGTCTCCTCTCGCATATTCTAAATCATTATTAGGACCTTTGGATTTCTAGGAGAATTATTCCATATTGTTATGATCGATTATAATATGTCATTTCGATGATTTCAGTACTACACCACAGTCAATGCTCTAACTTGCGCTTCTCACCAACAATCTGTGTGGTTTATTAGATGTGATGGGTGCTTCCCACCTAGCCTAGAATTGAGCTACTGGAATCTCCTTTTTCCAGCTGCTGCTGCTACTAGCAGATCTAAATTAATCATTTCTTTTTTGGTGAAAAGTATAATTTAAAATCCATGTCATAAAATGTCCTTCACCTCGTCAAAGACAAAATTTTTGTTGAACTCCTTCTCTTATATTAAATTCAATCATGTGTATGCCAATTAATCTGACAAATTTTGCTAAGATAAACTATACTAGTTTTATTTGGAGGCAAGATTGGCTTTCAGATTTTGCATCTTTTTTGTATGCTGATCTCCAGGGCACAGTATTCTTTTTTTTTTTTAAGTAATACATTGGTTTTTGTTTGGAAAAAAAAAGGCACTTACTCAATATTGTCCTTCCTAATATTCTTCCAATAATTTTTACTGTATTCATCAATTTTTTGATCTTATAGATGATTAACAAAATGGGTATGAGAAGCAATAGTTTTATCATAAACAGACATTATTGAAATTTTACTTCAGTTGTCAAAAACAATTCTGATCAAATAATTAACTCATCTGATCACATTTAAGTGCATTCCTGTCAAGAAGCAAATATAATTAATTATTGAAAAGAAAATTAAAGTTTGAAGTGCTTTCCCACCAACCAACTCTGAATTAAACTGCCACTGACCAAACCATAGCCTCCTCACTCCACTTAACCAATCATAGGGAGAAAAAAGAGTTTATATTACTATGCAACTTTAATTACAGATGGGATTTCTAATGCACATATGCTCAGAAACCATCATGAGACTACATGGTGGGCATTCATATATATTTTAATGGAACTGAGAAACCTAGTCTGGTCTCTTCTCTCACTTTCACTTGTGTAACTCTGCTAAGAAAAATTACGAGCCTGGAATTCAGTTTTCCTTGATGTAGATAGAATACAAGAGGTTTCCTGAAAATAGTTGACTGAAGTCTCAGCCTGAGTATGATACAGTAAAATATATGGATAATTATCTAATATCAGACATTTGTAATCACCAACTTCATAGGCAAATGGAGAGATATGCATCATAGTACATGTAGCATATTTCACCCCAGTGTTAAGGAGACAATTCTCTTCAGTATCCTAAAGATGTTTTTTTGTTACAAATAAGATAACCTGCAAAATAAAAGAAAAATGAAAGTCATCAGCATAAGAAAACATGATGCAAATGTGCATTTCATGCTCGTTCTTGTTGAGCTCATTAATTATAGGTGCTGTTAAGATGAACAGAAGATAGAAAGAGAGAGATCAATATAAAGGTGACATAATAGTTGAGCTTACTACTCCAAAAGACCAATAAGATGCCTTTGTGTGAGAGACTTGAGTTTCTGATTTAGCTTTCGTGTATATCTCAGAATCTGCATTCTGCATCAGTTGGAAGTCAAAGTCTAAAAGCAGACTGGAAAACTACTGCTAGTGTACAATTTGGATATAGATAACAAATGGACCTACCACAGACATATGCCTTGTCAGAGTAGAAAAGTGAGAGAACATCCTGTAAAAGCTTGAGACTTTAAACTAGAAAAAAGAAGGTTAGCATGCCACTAAAGTTGCATATATAGTTGTAATGAATCAGAGGAAGCAATGAAGCTCAAAATATGTCAGATCATATTTTCACTAGACCATGTTTCAGGATTCATGATTTAAGATAATATATTATCAGAACATCACAAGTTTCATAGTGCTTACACTATTCAGATATTTTATATTTTAGGGGCAAGTCTACAAGCCAATAGAATAGATCCTTTAGATGGAATGATAATAATAATAAAAAATACCAGACCAAAAGGTTTTGCATTATATTATCTTAAATCATGCATTAAAAAATTTGCTGAGCTGACTAACTGAAGTTCTATGTTCCAGATATAATTCTGTACATATGTATCTTGACAATTCATGCAACACTAACAATTCAAATGATCATGAATCCTTAGTCAAATTACTACAAGAATGGCTACTGTTCATTCATTGACACAACTATTTTAAGTATGTCATATTCCCTCATGATCCAACAATCATCAATTAAAAAACTTAGCAAGTTAGCCATTGTGATGTGGGTGTTTAGGGGTAAAACCATGTATATTGATCTCATTACCACAATGTGGGATTTAAAATATGAATATATGTAAAATTCAATAATAAAAGTTAAAAAAAATACCATTTGTCATTAGATTATTTAACTAAAACAAAAAACACAAAGTACATATAAAAAAAAAAAACTCCTTTTAGTTTTTCTTGAAAACCCCCTCTCTAATGGATGATCATATGGTCAATGGCTGCCTTCATGTCATCCCCTAATTTAATGAATCAGTGCATTTCTAGTTAGATCCTATCATTTTTACTTGTTGGCAACCTTCTACCTTTCATCAATGCAGTGAGTACTGGTCTTGACTTGTGATTAGTGGGTTGGGCAGAAAGTTAAACGAAGGACAATCATGACTTCTGCAGAATTATACATTGAGGATAATAATAAGTCATAAAGTCTCAACGAGGGATCCACTATATGAATCTTCCTTTTCACCGAATTCTATATAAAATAATATTTTTAACTACATATAAATATTTTAAATTCTATTATAATTTTTAATAAAATCATTTTACCCCCTCCCACTATCTACCTATAATACTTGTAGGTTTATACCATTTTAAATAATTCTCAATTATTTTATCATCTATCAGAGCTATGCACAATATTTTTTAAATAAAAATATATTTAATCCTATATAATAATATCACATATTTACCTTCACATCCTCATCTTAAAATATTATTTATTTACTTAGATCAAAAAATATAACTGACTTAGGGCATGCCCTAATAATTTTTTAATATAAGGAACACTTGATGATTACATAAAACTTCTTTTATAACTAAGACTCTTATTTACTAAAATTATTAATCTACCCATCTTTACTATACCATCAATTCACTATTTTTTTAGTATTTTAAAAATTATTTCTCATTTTGTTTTTAAGATGATAAAATTATATTTATAATTTTTTAATAAGTTATAATATTTAAAACTTTATTAGTAGTATATATATGACATTTTATATATTCCATAAAATGTCATGTTCATATCTAATTTTTCCAGCGTTTCATGCACACATCTAATCACACTATCAGATATTTAATTCGTCCATGGCGACATGATTCAAGAATGAAGTCAAGACTCACTTTTATTAGCAACATGGAACTCTTGGATGGTCTAATCTGAGACCCCGGAGTTGATCTTAATGTTCATCATTTCCAAGCACGGTTTGTAAAGCGAGAAGCACAAGTCCGATGCGGGCCCTACCTGGGTCGAAATTTTCGATTGGTCGGTCAACGTATACTAACCACGTCATCATGTCTGTTATTTGGCGCAGGAGGGGCCCGTCGCAAAACATGTCCTCCCGCGTCATCCGGGTTTGACAGGTGGGTCCCAAGACTCACCTCGTCAACCCAAACCGGATCGCGTGCAAGACTGAGATGAGGGGGGCGCTCAGGATCGGCCTGCGAGGCTCTCCTCTCCTGCGCTGATACCGGCCGGTCATTTCGACCAATATAAAATTGCCACGCCTGGTAGATTTTCTCGTCGCGGGCTGGAATCGAACACGGGATCATTATTGCGGCGGTTCACTCGGGCCGGTTCGCACTCGCTTTTCGTGAACCGGTTCCACCAGACCGCTTCTCCTCCCTGCTCTTGGCCGCAACGTCGTCTTCTTTACCTTCGTTGTATATATATATATATATATATATATATATATATATATATTTGGGTGTATCTTTTTGACTGCCCACCAGAGTGGGAAAAATTGTATATTGATGGCGAAATCGACCAATTTGGCCTTCGGACGGATATCGCTGGGTTTTCTTGGATTCCCCCTTTTGGTGTCTTGTTTCTTCTTTGCTTCGGTTATTGTATAATTCGGCTAGGGATTTGGGCTTGGGGCGATTAATCTTGGCGTCAGGGTTGGGAGTCGTGGGTAAAGATGAGGTCTTCGTTGAGGAGATTCCGAGGGTTTGCGCTCCACAAACACGAGCACAAACAGAGGAGGGAGAAAGGCTTGGTGGCGTACCAGGACGAGCTGCTCCAGGCGACCCAGGTTCCGTTCAAACGCTTCTCTCTGTTCCTCCTATTTTAATTGCTCTCTGGGCGGTTTTCTGCGGAGTTTATGAGAAGATCTCGTTGTTCCTGGATAAAAGAAGGGACGGTGATCATAATTACGTGCCTTTAGCTCTCGAAAAGTTCTCCCTTTTCTTTTTCTGAAATGATATCTCAAACATACTTGCTTAATTTTTTTTCGTGAAAATTTTGGCTTGAAATATTGAATTGCGCCTGAATGATGGTTTGATTTTGATAATTAAAGATGCTTGCGATCATCAAGTTCTTTGCTGACCAAATTTCAGGCACTACGATAGATGAACGGTTATGCTGAGCTTACGAATGCAGCTTCCTTTGGCTCCGATTTTTCCCTGTTTATATTGAAGTGTTATTTGATAGATCTAGGTTTTCACTGTGCTGCAAATCAGAGATTTTATGTGCTGCTCTGTGGTACAAAAGAATTTGTTTGTCTTTCACTAAATGCTAGTGATTTTTGCATTAGATACCTTAGTTAACGTTTGTTTATCTGACAAGTGGGGGCTTGCCTATCAAGTTATATAGGGGTTTTGTGATCAATTGAACCTGTTGAGTTGCTAATCTTACAGCTTAAGTC